AAACAAAAGTGGGTCACTGAGCACAAAACCAAGCATATCTGCAATGGCCATCCCAGTCCCCAGACCTGAACCCTATAGAAAATGAGTGTGCTGAACTGAAGAGAAGAAGCGCCATCATGGATCTGGGAGTCTGAAGGATCTGGAGAGCTTCTCTGATCTCTTGTCAGGTGTTCTCCAAACTCATCCGTCATTACAGGAGAAGACTCAGAGCTGTTATCTTGGAAAAAGGAGGTTGCAAAAAGTATTTAAAGGTAGGGTATGGGATTTGCAAAACGGCTGGCAGATTTTGAAAATACACAACTCAAAAGGTCCTACCTTCTTTCCTCCAACGCTGACCCTGACTCCACCCATTCGAAGAACATGGACGCGCAATCATGCACTTACTCTCTCTCCCTCTGTACCGGGGCGACTTGCACTTACTGTGACTGGGTCACGAGCTTTGAGGATGCGCACGAAGGGGACACGCGTGCGAGGGGGATGTGGGGAGGGGGGTATGGTACTACCGTTTGATTGACGCACTTACAGTCCAATGATTCTAGGTGGTCTTGGAAATGATTGGCTGGAGTTTTTCCGAGTCCTGCCCGTTCCACAGATGATTAAATTGCTTAATTTTCATTTCAGTGCTTCTAACTCTCTTCTAACTGGCTGTAAGTGGGTTAGGAATAGGATTTCAAGTGATTTTGAAAAAATGGTCAAAAAAGAAAATCACATACCCCACCTTTAATAAAAGGGGGCAAATAATTGTTCCTAACGTGTTTTGGAGAAAAACATTTATTTCATAATTTGATTTCCCCCCCACTTTCAAATCTTTTACTTCAATAATTCAAATAATTCTGACCAGCACTGTATTGCATATTAAGGTTAATTATTAATACTGTTATTATATACTATACATATTGATTCTCAACAACAAACAGTAGCTGAATGCGTTTAAACTAGCGTATGATAAGAATATGAAAAGTCTTCGTAGTACCTTTGTTCTTTGGTATATGTCAACCAGGAGATTTTCATAATACGACAGGAAGAGTAACGAGCAAAATCAGAAGGTCAGGTCATCAGAAAGGTTGGAAGAGAGCAGAGAATGAGATATTTATGGGTAAGGGTTGAAGTCTCGCATGCATTAAGACTTGCTTTCACAAATGAATGGTGGCACGAGAGGAAACTGAGGTCAACTGATACCTGTTATCAACATGTGAGAGTTTCCAGAAAGCCAGAACAAACGTAGCTGAAATCTCTGCATTAACACAATGGAAATGATAACTGAACTGAAATCGTAATTCTGAACTCCAACTTTGCTACCTGTTCAACAACACCTGGAGGATGTGATTTATTGGTGAATTATGCATTTCTATGAACTATTCAAACAAAGTCCAAAATGTAGTTCACAAGAAACTTAAAATTCTGTTATCATTTACTCACATACACTCAAATCATTCCAAACCTGAATGATAATTATTTTTGGGTGAAATTCAGAGTAAGGGTTGATTTTTTAGGTGAAACAAAATTTAAGTATCCAAACTTTCTCAGACAATAATGACAATTGCCATCAGAATATCTTATGTAATTAGTTTACAAATATTCTATACTTGTATTTTTCAGATTACTTATGAACAGGCATAACATCTGAAATAAAACCTCTAAAAGTTATTTTTTTAAAGGTACACTATGTAACTTTTGGCCCTAAACAAAACTTTTTTTCATGCATTTTGCAGAAGAACATTGCTTTCGTTGTGTTTCAGCTCTGCGTGAATATGGTCTTTTCTCATAACTCATAACTAACAAAGAGATTATCCTACTACTCATAAAACATTCACTACTAGGTAGGGGTGTAACGATACACAAACCTGACGGTTCGGTTCGTCCCACGGTTTTGAGGTCTCGGTTCGGTTCGGTTCATTTCTGTGGGGTGGGGGGGGGGTGTAGAAAGCTAAAATTGCTTTTATTTTTTATTAAACAGTGCTTTAATGAACAACTTGTGTCCTTGTCTTTAAATTAATTCAATTACAAGTAAACGTTTCTCAAGGATAACAAAAGTATCTGCTAATGCTGTAAACTACAGCCCTTACTTGCACATTACTATAACATTAAAGCTTAACAACAGAGCCTAGACTTTTAGCCTAAATGATATAATAATAATCAACACTCAAATAACAAATTGTATGAAAACATGTAAACTGCACATAAGGCAATTTTTGCATTAACATGTTTTTACTCTAATTTGTTATTGTTATATAATAATTTACACAGTTGCTGTTATTTTCATGACAACTATTTTAAACATACATTAAATAATCAAGATATCATAAACAGGTTAAGTAAAATATAATATATAGGCTAATATATAGCATTTATTTAGTGAAAGAGTTAGCAAACCAGCAAGCTGTGGACACTGAATGACTTGCCTGAGGTAAATATAAAGCTATGTGAAAAACTACGCGTTTTATTGACGTATTTCCGCTGTTGAAACACTGATTGAGTGTTTACACGAGTTATGATGCCTTTCAGTAAGTATACGGTATCTTTCAACATACCTTCGGGTGTCCATTCATGTTTATTCTGTAACTGAGGAAGAGATGATCGCGCTCCGCCCTGCCGCATGCATACAGTGATATCTGTCACGCCACATCTAAGAGCGCCAAAACGGCATTTATTGTTTGCATTTCGTGATCAAATAGACATAATTTGAAAGATTACACCTTGCTTATTATCAAAAGTAACGAAACACTGAGCTTATTGCGATTATATGTGGTTAATGGTGGTTAGGCAACAGCCCTGTATTTGTTGTGTACACATAACACATGAGGTGCAATGAGCCGGGGCTGGGCGGGGCCGCAGGGGGCGGGGCGTGTTCGGTTCGCCATGAGAGTATCGCGATACGTATCGTGGGTGATGTATCATGGTTTTTCGGTTCGGTTCAAATATCGTTACACCCCTACTACTAGGCTTAAGAGATATAACCAGTTCAGATGGAAAGGATCACAAGCTGCCTAGTTGAAGACGTTACTGTATTAATAGACATGGTATTTCCTTGAAAATAAATTCCAGCACATCGCTACAACCAAAAAGATATGACTCTTCACAATAGATAATGCTCAATGAACTCTGTCAGAGCTACATATTGCAATTTATCTGTTCAACAAAATACCTTACCTATTACTCACCTGTTGAGTAATAAAAACACCATCATCTGCTTTTACAACCTTTCAAATCACCATCTCTGAAAAGCCAAGCCAATGTTGATTCTTGTTTTATTACTAACTCTGTCGTGTTCTCTTTTTGCCAGCAGACTCTCCTCCGTTCTGCGTTTTTTTTAAACGGTTCGAGATTTAGCGGCTCCATCTCAACCTTTCAAACTCGTTGTGAGAACTAACCTCTGCCACTCACACACCAAACACGCATCAAAGTAGCCGGAGCAACCTTTCTCCATTTACGGATATGAGACACGCACGAGCGAGTGACGCATCTTCGCAATTTTCCTCCGAAAAACACTTACCATAGTGAATCAGGGTAAGACAAAAACACGTTTTGGAAGAAGGACTGATGATGTACTGACTCATTACTTACATTTTGTTCATTTTGAACAAAAAAAGATCCATGGTGTAGCTTTAAGATCTTCCAGTTTACCTCAGCTTTAGGCAGGCACTGGAGTGTTTATTAGCGAGCTAAAGCATCTCATTAGGAAATAGATAGTGGGCGGCTGAAATCATCAGTGGCTAAACTCACCACTCTTCTGACTTCAAACCTTCATGGATCATTTGATTAGCAGTGAGTAATTGGCTCCATCCGTCATACTCTCTGACTTTACCTTTCGGCACAAAGTATTCTTTTAAAAGTCCAAAAGAGCAAAAGGCAAGATGTCGGAGGAGATTACTGTAATAAAGGTCACTCTGTTGTTTAGGAGTTTTACCTTTGTATCTTCAATAGCAACTACTCTTGTGACAGTAAAACAACAAAGAAAGAGAGTTTCTAAGTTAGTTGTTGACCTTTCACCACTATAAACCACCTTTATTCACCAAAATGAAGGAAAAACAGTTTGGTTACAGTAGAGCTGCATGATTCTGGGTGAATTAAGAATCACGATTTTTTTAATTCAAACCGAGATCACGATTCTCCCATGATTCTGAACAGACTACTAAACACAATAACATGTAATTTATAAGAGGTTCTGAGAAATGTTAATTGGTGCAGTCTATTTAAAATGTTCAATGAATAATAAAAAAAATGGTTTGAATGAATGATTCAACGACTCACATAAGTATAAGTACAAGTATAAGTACTTCATTGTTTCATTACTGGATGAAATCAGCATTTTTTTAACGAATAATTCAATGCCAAATTAACAGTACCAGGTGGCGTAACAATGTTATCGATAAAATCATTATTTGAAGCGCCATGTTACTTTCAAAAGTTGATTCACTCTTAATGAGAATCAACGTAATGTAGCCGGAGTTGGCCTTTTCTTAAAGAGGCAGTACACTATTTTTTACCAAATCCTACAAGCACATGAATTTTAGTATGCTTTTAACCTTTTAAGTATTATTTAACATCTTTAACCATTACATGAACTTCTAAATAAAAAAAATATTTACCTGTTTAACGTTAATTCTTATTCACATGAAGACGAACTGATAAAGTATGAACTGTACTTTGGCCTCTACAACTCTATTTTTAGCGCTTCCGTAAACATCAGTGTTTATATCCGAATTATACACTTTTATCCCAGTTCTTCTATGATAATATGACTATTTGTAACACAGAAATATTGATACTGTGTGGTTGAAAAGACTGATTTTGAAGCTGTTTCAATCGTTGTCATTAGGAATGAGATTGCATGGGTGTTTGAATCGAGAACGCGACCTTAAATGATTAATCGTGCAGCTCTAGGTTACAGTAAATAATCTTCTGAAATGAATCCAACATCTATATCAAACCTTCTTTCTGAGAAGACTGACTATGGAGCTGAGGCACTTAGAGGTCAAAGGTCAATTCAGGACACTTACCAGGTCTGTTTTGGTCAGGTCCTGATATTCCGAAGAGTAAAAGGAAGGTGTTTTCCCGAAGCCGTTGTTGTCACTGGCAGTTTTGTTTGGCTGGGCATGCTGACGGTAAGTGGCACTTTTAGGAGACCAGCAGAAAAGGTTGATGGATTCCCGGACACAGCGTTCAATGTCGATCTCTGAATGCAAGACGGGAAAGAGAGAAGTGTTGCTTCACAACGATCGTGCTTAAGGATGGCGATCCTAAATCAAATTATTTCATAATGATAAGCAAGTCCTAAGCTGATGAATACTTGCAGTTCTGTGAGATTTAAATATCTTAAAAGCGTTAAGAAGAACAGCCACTTTATGCTCATTTGGCAAAGCCACAGGAGAATCACAGACCGTCTAACTTCCGCCTAATTAAACTTGGATGACCTTGGAGTTTCCCTCCAACTGGTCCAGAGACTTAGACTTCTTGCCAATGCTTCATTCAGTCACAAACAAATTTAGTGAAGACATCAACACTTCATTCACACTCTCACAGTACCAAAGAAGGGGAGATTCAACTGCTCCCTTCAAATGCAAAGCGAACTCTCTTGAGCCATGAGCCGTAAACCGGAGATTAGAGCAAAAGGGATTCACGTGGATATAAACAAATCAGGAATCCTTTTCTCGCTATCTCACTCACTTTCTATCCTGTTAGCGAAAGAAGTATCCCTAAAGAAATGATTTAGCATGCTTGGTCTACTATTCAAATCAAGCCGAGTGTGACAGCTTCATTTTATTTAAGAGGATATGATCTGAATACTGGATTATAAACAGTGGACTTACTCTGAGGGGCTAAGATTACTGTCCTCTACAGTAATATAGGCAAGACAGACAGACCGAGCGAGAGAGAGAGAGAGAGAGAGAGAGAGAGAGAGAGAGAGAGAGAGAGAGAGAGAGAGAGAGAGGAGCTGTGCTAGAAGTGTGCTGCTAGCATTTTAAGGCATCATTGTAATGCAACAGACGTGACAGCTCTAAAAGGTAGGGATCGTCGCATATATCAGTTGCAGAGAAGACAGACAATCTCATAATGCAATACGCTGCGACGAACACAGTGAAAAAAAATCCAGAAATGGGAGATTATAAAAAGGTATTTTTCCCAATAAATTTCTTCATAGGTATCTTTAATTAGAAAAAAAATATATTTCTTAAGCCATGAATCAAACTAACAAGCTCTGGGATGAGTCACAACTTTACAAACTTCACGTTGAAACAAGAAAAGACCATTTATAGATTTTATATTCTATTCTAAAAGGCATTATTTATTTAATAAATATCCATTAAAAGCTTCAATATTTTGAAATATAACTACGATTTAAAAAAAACTGTTATATATTTTAAAATGTGATTTATTCCTGTGATGTAAAGCTGAATATTCAGCATCATTACTCCAGTCTTCAGTGTCACATGATCCTTCAGAAATCATTCAATGATGATTTGATGCTCAAGAAACTCAATATATTATTACCAATGTTGAAAACAGTTGCTGCTTCATATTTTTGTGGAGATCAGGATTATTTGATGAATAGAACATTCAAAACAACAGCATTTATTTGGAATAGAAATCTTTTATAAATGTTACAAATACCATCGCATCTCAGCACTCAAACTCTAAAAAATGCTGGGTTGTTTCAACCCAACTTTGGGTCAAACGGGGACAAACCCAGCCGTTGGGTTAATTTTTTTAATTACAATTTTAACCCAACGTACTGGTTCGTCCATATTTGACCTAAAATTGGGTTAAAACAACACAGTATTTTTTAGAGTGCACGTTTGTCTTAAAATGTTTACACATTCTCAGGTAAAAAAAAAAAAAAGACAATGCAAAAAAATAATAATTTTTAGATCGATTTTCAAGTCTGGAACTTGAAACTGCATGCTACTGAAATCGAGTAGCATGCAGTGGCATGAAGTCGAGTGTCTTGTATGCTTTGTGTGAGAGTTGCTATTTGTATGAGTTTCTGGCTATGTGATGTGTTTCAAATCAGTCACCTATGATAAGGCTCATTCCAGTTATAATGGCAAGCGAGGCTTTGGAACAGAGAGAGAGAGGAGGAGGATGAATGCAAACAGCATGAGAGATGAGGCACCAATCAGTCAGTGCATTAGAGACTTGACAGATGATCCGCCTTTCCTCCAACCATCACCTCCCTGTGCCTCCTTCCAATGACCCAAATCTAGACGCAGAGATGAGGAATGACATATGGATCTGGAGGTTCGAGACACGCGCACATCAGAAATATGGTGCCTTGTCACCTCTGCCGTAACTCTTAGGGGATCGCTAGGGGATTGCACAGTGCATGCACTAGGGGTCCTTGTGTGTGCCCCACATACAATCCAGACTCCATGAGAACTGGTTCTCCAATCCCAACCCAACACAGTGGCACAAAAGGAATGAGTAAAGACATTCAGTCACAATGCATGAATGTTGCATGAAACACCACCGCCTTCCAGCACAGAATTCCCACTGTAGTCAAGACAAATACCATGCATTTGAAAGACAGGTCTGGCTATGCATTCCACATTTCATCTTTATAAACACAGATTTCGTCACAGTATAAGCTGCAGACATTATTCAGACACCGATATTGACTTTCACATGGCATGAAATAAACATGCCTGAAGGAGTCATCTGGATTCAGTAGTAAAGGGGGATAAGAACTAAATGACACACTACTAAATTCTCCTGACTTCATCCACTATGACTGAAGGAGTGAAATCAGCCTCTACAGGATGTGGAACAGACATTATTATTATGCTTGTAATGACAATAATGGTAGTAACTACAATATTTTGGTGTAAACAAATGGTTATCATGGTAATTTTTTGGGCACCTGGTGAATAACTAGTGGCCAGAGTTTTTATTATGAATTATATCAGCACTGATTTTTGATAGAGATGCACCGATATGAACATTTTGGCCGATACTGATAACCGATAATTCTTTATATTTGAAAGCCGATAAATGATATATTGGCTGATAAATCTAAATCCAAATTTGTATATCATTTTTGAGAGCCTGCTTACAAAAACAAAAGTCTCACCATTAAATCGATGTCACAGGCACACAATTATAATTTTCTGTAGCCTACATGACAGACTTGTGCTGCATATGTTGCACTGTGTTTTCCTTTTTAAAGTGATTCCAATCATATTTCAAGCAATTCAAAAAATCATGGGGTCATATTTAACCTCCTGTGAAACAAGAAGTCATAGCTAGACAAGTTCATGTTCCTAGTTACCCTGGTGTGCTAAAAAAAAAAAGGTAAATATTAATGGGAATATACTTCAGAGATATATTTTACTCGTAAAAAATTCTAGAGGTGCCAATAATTGTTCCTAACGTGTTTTGGAGAAAAACATTTATTTCATAATGTGATTTCCCCCCACTTTCAATTCTTTTACTTCAATGACATTTTTTGAATGAAAGATCAAAAGGATAAACAATGCAGATTTATGTTTTACAGCCATTTTTGATCATATTTACCAGGGGTGCCATTAATTCTGACCACAACTGTATATCGGCCGATACCGATATGGTGGCCGATATATCGTGCATCCCTTTTTTTTTTGACAGTGTTTAAATGAAGTCTCCTATGCTCACCAAGGCTGCAATTATTTAATAAAAATACAGTAAAAACAGTAATATTTTGAAATATCATCACAATTTAAAATAACAGTTTTCTATTTTAATATCTTTTAAAATGCAATTTATTCCTGCGATGCAAAGCTGAATTTTCAGTCTTCAGTGTCACATGATCAATCAGAAATCATTCTAAAGTGATGATTTGGCATATTTTCTTTTCCAAGACTCTTTGATGACCTGAATGTTTAAAAGAACAGAATTTATTTTAAATAAAAATCTTTTGTAAAATTATAAATGTCTTTACTGTCACCTATGCTCAATTTAATGCATCACAGTATTAATTTCTTTAAAAATATATATATCTTACTGACCCAAAACTTTTGAAAGCTAGTAAAAAAAAAAAAAAATATATATATATATATATATATATATATATATATATATATATATATATATATATATACTGTATATATATATATAATGTTTGTTCCAAGAAACACTAATTAGATTTTTTGGATGATATTATGTAACATTAAATATTATGAAATAAATGTATTCATTTCAGCAATGTCTCATTTGCTATCATTAAATAGTATCACATCAATATCATATCATCAACAGTACCACCCTCTTTAATAATTGCATCGATCTCAGTACGACCCTTTAAAAATGTATATCTGTCAGGCACTTCCACTAAACTCCATGGCTTCTATTGACAGAATGGATTAATATTAGTCTGGGCCATTTAACACCCATCAGCTCGTGAATACATTTCATCACTACCATCATTTTCCAGCTCACAGTTTCCAAAACGCATAAGAGGGGAAAGAAAAAATGGCTTTGATAAAGGTGATAGCGGTAAGCTAAGACCTCTTTATGAGGCAATAAAAAAGACTGAGGAGAAAAATTCACCTCCACAACCTTTCTCCAACAAAATATAGCATGCTTTTGTGATTTAAAACCGAAAAGGATGTCTTCAGTTGTGGCCAAAACAAAACAAGCAGTCATGTATACAAACCCAGTCTCCACGGTTAAATTAGTAACCTGCGTGAGAGAATAAAAATGAAAACAATGTTAAAACGTGTTATTAACAAGTTGAGACGTTTGTGTACGGGAGGCAGGAATTACAAGCCACAGATTCACCAACTCTATATTTAGCGCTAACAAGTGTGTAAAGTAAACACAGTCATGTAGCGACAAGTGGGTCAAACAAACACGTTAGGACAGAGGAATGTGATGATGGTGCTTAAAGTCTCAATGGAAAAATGTCTTTGGATGCTATGGGAATGGGAGTAGGGGCATGGGCATAAATGAATAATGCGCTTTAATAAAGTGTACAGTGGAAAATGAAGTTCTAAGGAAGAAGTTCTTGTTTTATGGTAAATTGCTGTATTTGTTATGTGCCCTCATAATCTTTCATAGCGAGAGGGCGGGATCAAGCTGTCACTCACATGAGATCCACCAATAGAAAACCACAACCATCCAGTCAATTCCCCATGGACAGAATCAAGTCCTTCCCTACTTTTTTTTTTCTTGTTTGAGAAGCCATTTCACTCAGATATATGT